GTCAACAAATTTTAGCTTCAGTTCTTATATTGGAGAAGCCATTTTTGTAAGTAGTAATTGAAGAAAATTTATTTTTGTAGGCTAAAGGAAACTAATCTGGTTTTAATTATATGCCACTTGAGTAAAGTAAATAAATTATTCTTGGAATTATTTGCTTTGAAAAAAAAATTAGTGCCATATATGGTTTTCTTGAAATCTAAAAATAATGATATATTTCCATCTATATTGGAAAAAAAAAGTAATATTCTTCCAAAATTAGTATTTGAAGATTCACTAATTTAATATAAAATATTATAGCCAAAAATTAATTATACAAAGAAATAAAACAAAACAAATGACAAAACATATATTTATGCCAGGGATTTAAAATAGTTTTACCATTTTATTATTAACAAACACTTAAAATATATATTACGTGAATGCTAATTTAGCATGGCTCTTTTTTTTGTTGCTTACTTATTTGTAGTTTAAATCATACAACAACTACTCCCCCCGTTTCAAAATATAAGTTATTTTAGAGGTTTTTTTTTTGTTTCAAAATGTAAGTTGTTTTGACAATCTTAGTTGCTTTTTAACTTTATTGATTATTGTGCGACCACTAGTATTTTTCAGTTTTTTATGTGATTGGTCAAATTATTTTTATTTAATATATTAAATGATTATTTTTAGTAAAAACATAGTTTCTTAATAGTCGTGTTTTTAGCTAAAACAACTTACATTTTGAAACGGAGGGAGTCTTTTTTTACGCCAGGGCTCGCTTGGGTGCAATATGTGAACTTGAGAAGATGCGCGAAAGGGTTCCAATTGATACCACTGCTGCTCAAGGGAGTGGTATATTGGAAGGAAAACCAAAATACTCTTCTCAATGTCTTTGGTTCGTTTTTTATGAATATATAAGATGAGATAATGAATAAGATTTGCAGTACAGGTTTGATTTCCTTATCAGCTCAAGGACTTGGACCAGGACAACCAAGTGGAACAGTTGAACAAGGCTTTAAAAAAGATACACCATATTATAGAAAGGCCTTTCTCAAAAATATTATAGAAAGGAGCTATAATCTGAGGTAATTATTTATCATGAGAAACTGCTTAACACAGACAAGAACAAGATCTATATAGCTCTCTCTTTCTCTAACCCCAAATTAAGAACGGCTCCAAATTTACAAAACGCTAAAAATCTCAGAGAACAAATATATATATATAGAGAGAGAGAGAGCACTGAACTTTTCTTGAAATGTTTCACAAAATTTAGCGTTTTTTTTTTGTCAATAGATTTTAGCATTGATC